AGGTCATTGATTCACTTGTAGATCCATTGTTCATTTAAATAGGGGAAAAAAACATTTAAATTAAAATAGAAAATGTCAGAAAATTTTGAATTTCTTTTATTAGGTCGGGCTTCGGGCTCGGCCTCGGGCTTCGGGCTTTTCATCAGGACCGGGCTCGGGCCCAAATTGTAGGCCCGTTGGTCGGGCCGGGCTCAGGCTCGGGCCTAACAGTTTTCTGTTAATAAAGAGTCAAAGCCCGGCCCGAGCCCGGCCCGGCTCGGCCCATGAACAGGTCTGCTCATGACTAGATGTCATTCACAGCATGTTACCAAAACAGCCCAGGCTGTTAAAGTTTTTCCATGGAACGCCCCCTATGATATGTAAAAACCATACCCATGCCAGCCTAAAGTGGAATAGCTGCACCATCCAAGTTGATACAACTCTCATCCGGCAGCACCTAGCGATCCAAAGGAGGACTGCCAGTTGTGGGCCAATTGGACTCACTTGTAAGCAGGCCAATTGGACTCACTTGTAAGCAAGGTTTAAAATTTTGATATGGTACATTTTATATTGGGCATTTCGGATTACATTGCTAACTCTCGAAATCTCAAATAAAAGATGTTTTAGAACTTAGAAACTTTCAAGGGGTAGGCAAATCTAAAACTAACCCTAAACAATTTTCAAAAAATCTAAAGAAAAATTATGAAATATCAAAACATCTAATACGCCTGTTCGTATCAGACATATCGATACTTTAAACCATGCTTGTAAGCACAAAAGAGTTTGTAATTAGTAATTCTAGAAAGTGAGCATTAACCGTGGCAATAACATCTTGTGGGGAGAAGTTATCTATCCATCCCTTAAAAAACCTTATGACAACGCCATTTCCACGCATGCCAAAACACTACTGTACAGGAAAAGGAAAGAGCCATCGCTGTCGCTGACTACTGTATAACAGGAGTCCGGATCTGCCGACGCTGGACTCGTTTCTAACCCATAGAAACTCTCTACTCTCTATTTGGCAGAAAAACTTTAGCTGTTGGGGCCCAGCCTATGCTGTTAAGAGAATTTCTGAGAATGCTACATTACCATAAGAATAGATAAATTAGTAATTACATATTAACTTATTTTTACTAAAAACCAAAGCATGAGCATGAATAGGTGAATTGCCCAGAACGTGCCCAGCCCAAGAACTGTTTCAACAGCCTATACTGTTGGGCCCCAACAGCCAAAGTTAACCCCTATTTGGCGTTTTGGTGACCGAAAAATAAGGCAAATAAGTTACCAACGGCTTGAACATTGTTCCTATGGAGAAGCAAGAATGTTGCTCGAGGGATCTAGTTTCCATAGAAAGGAAGCATAACAAAATTATGTTGAACCGCTAAATGTAGAGCATGCCTTTCTCCTGCAACTTCTCTCTTCTGAACTATCGATACAGCAACAACTAAAGTAATAAGCTAATTGTAGATGACCTACAAGTAGGGGCGTAAATTGGACTGGATTTGATCCAATCCAATCTAGTCCATTATAAATGGACCAGGTCCAATCCAATCCAATGAATGTTTTAGACCAATTTGGACCAGTCCAATTCAATGTCTGGATTGTCCAATCTGTTCAAATTCATTTTGATTTAGATTAGTTTCAACTCAAACTTGTTCCATTGACACATATTCTTTCTTATCTTATATCAATGGACCAGATATTGGCTTAATCCAACACAATCCAATATAAATTTGTTATGGACGGACCAGGTCCAATTCAATCTCATAAATATTTTGGACTGGATTGGTCCAATCCAATGTCTTGTTGGTCTGTCCAATCCGTCCAAATTGATTTTGGATTGGACGGGTCCAATCCAAAACCGCTCCATTGACAGCCTTACCTACAAGACGACTTGAAAAGCCTTACTTACCATTCTTGTGATTCCACATAACTGGTAATTCCATTTCACTTCCCAGGCTCCTAGCAACATCTTAGCATGAGCTTGAAGTTGAGAATTCATGTTCATGTAGGGTATGTACATAGCATGAACACTTTAAGTCTGTAACCATTTATTTCCACCTTATGATTGAAAGATAATGATTTCTAATAACAAACCACAAAAAATTAGAAAATATTTATTCTATAATACTCGGTTACTTGCAATTTACAGAGAGGGTTGCCTTGGTTACATAAATGCTATAACCAGAGCAGAGATAAAAGCAAGAGAGGCCAAAGATGAGAGAAATGGTCACGGTGTTTGCCATAATTAAGATTAATATTACAAGTACTTGATCAGCGCCCAAATAACCACAGCCAAAATCACAATTCCAATTACTGCCAAGAGCATGCACATGCAGGAGCAACCCCCCTTGGTCCGCTTATTCAGGATTGCCAGTCGCTTTTGCATTCTCTGCCACAATAAGAAAAATTTAAAAGAATGAAGAAAACTTTAATAGTTCATCCAAAGGGAAATGATGAGAGATCTTGATTCAAGAAATGGTAACAGAAAAACATAACATCTATCTGCCAGCATTAGCGACTTCTCAAAAGATAATTTTTCCACAAGAGACATCGAGTCCTAAGAACAGAAATGGAGCAGCAATCTTCATTGAATCTTCTGCTAACAAACTTTGAGATGAAGGTACTTACCCAATTTATTCCATCAAATATTTGGGGTTAAAGAGTTTGATTTCCACACAAGTAGACCCCAGCGGTTAGGGATTTTGATTTTTCTCCAAAGTATTCTTTTCCGTAATGCAAAATTTTTTCTTTTCAGGTTATTACAAATATAAAGTGGAAATGATCTATCCCTTCTTGCTTATAAGAAATGTCCCCCAACCAAAAGAACAAAACCTCCAGTCATTTTGTTCATGTATGCCAACCTCACTAAGCTAATAATGAATGATTGAAAATCATAGAGATATTAAGTCTAACCTGTAGCCTGGAGTCTGTTGAGTCCACGTGTTCATCCAATGTATCCTGCACAATAGAGCAGCAGACATAAGATTCAGCAATTAATATAGACATTTGGAAAAGGAAATGACCCATAGACAGAAAACATACAAGGAGCCTAGTATGTAGGCTGAGTTCCTCGTTCACTGCCAATGCAATATGTTTAGTGCTTAATACTGTCTCCTCCAATTTCTCAAGGCCTTCATCTTGTTCTGCTTCCAGTCCAATACCACACGTGTTCAGATAGGCAAACCTAATGATAATAAAGAATATGAAAGAAGAATGTTCTCTGATGAAATCGTGAGAACTTACCTTTCATAATTTGTCGTTGAAGGCCCACATGGCCGTAATTGTCCAAGCCAGTTGTTCTGCTCATGACATCTGTTGGCTTTGTATCTGGTCCTAGCAAGCTGTCTCTGTTAGCAAAATTGGACATGTTCAATGTGGAAGCCATTTGGTTGGCTTTTGATCTGAAATTTGCAAGCATATCCTGACGTCGATGCATCTCCTTCTCTGTTCTGTCCATTGGAATGAAACAGAGCATAAACAAGATCAAGAAACAGAGTTATTTTTCAATGAAAAAAACAGCTTAAGAGCTACTGAGTTCAGATAATAAACTCAAATTTACAACACCAGAGTATTGTGGGAATGACAAAATTTGATCCCATCTGTCTAACCTGATCGGAGTTATTGAAGTCCAGTTGGGGGAACATGGATACAATAATTATGTTAATAACTGACACCCAAATCTAAATGATATGCATGCTCAACCATGTTGACAAATATGGGTTCATCATCATCTAAGCCTTATCCAAGCTATATGGGGTAAACTACATGAATCCTGTTTTCCCTTGCATTATCCATTGTTTAAATCATTTCTTGCTACTTCAACCCATTATATTTTTTGATCTTCCTCTAGCCCTTCTAGTCCCTTGAACTTGGTTCCTTCAAATATTTAAAATAGAAATGCCTACTTTTTGATTGGTAACAGATCAAAAAGCTTTATTAGAAACAACTGAAATTAGTACAGATAAAACAAAACAAAGTTGGGCTTTCCCCAAAGAAGCATGAACGGAGGTAGCCCCCATGCTACTGCCTTGATCTCCCCTAACAATACATAACTAATCCCCAAAAATAAATTAAAACTTAATCCAGAGGGGGCTAGGTTCCCAATAAAGTTCATGTCTCTCCACAACTGCCCTAGTAGCAGAATTTGCCAATGAATTTGCTGATCTCAGGACTACTTGAACAAGCGGTTCAGTTTTTTTTTTTTTTTTCAGTAATCCAGAATATCATTTCATAGAGCAAACAAACTACAGAACACCAACAAACAACAAGAAGAACTCAACAAACTAACAGTAAAGCCAAGAAACCAAACACAGACAAGAGATAGCATACCAACACACTACAACCCAGACACATTACAAACTCAGACAAAAACTGCTTATGACTCCTATTACTACTGCTAGAGACACCCAGAAATTCCAGATTAACAATGTTTGACGACCAAAAAGGAAAAACATCAAAATAGAACAACCTAAACTTAAGACCAGATTTTGCAATGGCATGAGCAGCACTATTTGGGCTTCTCTAGTCCATTTGAAAGTGATTTCCCTGTTCTTGCACAATGCAGAAATATCTTTACACAAAAACCAAGATTGTCAAAGAACACTCCTTGCTTGGATCTTGCAGATAGCTGATGACTTGAAAGTCACCACTTTCTACAATAGCTCTATTCCAATCCGAACTGACCAGAACCTTCACTGCTTCCAAAATAGCTACAGCTTCTGCCATTAAGGGAGATGAAGCCTTTCACGTGTCTCGATTGCCCAAGTTGACTATTGCTGTCTTTAATCCACTAAATAATCACTTTGAACCCCTCCAAGAGTGCTAAGCTTTAATATAGTTTCCAACCCCAATAGGGTCCATGATTATTTCTAAAAGCTCCTCTAGTTCCAGACCTCCCTGGGTTGCATAGACTACCTGAAATTTAATTGGATAGAATTTGGAATGTTTCTAGTTGAAAATAAGGACACAGACTGCCATCCTCTCAGTATGTCATTTGAATTGAAAACCTTGAATTATTCCTTTGTTAAGAACCAATGTGATACCCCAAATATAAATTAGTTCAATAAAATATTCAAACCTTCTGAGGATTGCTCTGTGTTGGGGAAAATTTTAGCATATATCTTTTTTCTTTTGAGAAGATAACTTATTTCTCAAAAAAGAACAAAAAAGAAAAAAAAAAAAAAAACTTATACTATCCATCAATGTTTAAAAACATGGAGGCATGAGGACCTTAGGATGCATGAGGCTTAATGCTCATTGGCTACCAATTCAAAAAAAAACCAACTTGCCTTGGCTTCTGTGTAGACTGTAAAAGTTAAATCAAGGTATTGGAATCATATAATGTAAGCTTGTTAGTTTTTTCCTTTAATCTTATACACATGCTCTTACACTAGGATACTTAACCCACATGAGTTACCAATTTTTTCTAAAAGAAATCCAACTGATATGAGAAGAAATTAGAACATGCATGACAAGGGCATCTATCTATCTATAGTGTGTGTGTGTAAGATTCCAATGAGATAATAATACAATGCAGATCAGATTCTTGAGGAAACTAACAACAGAAAAGCTTGCAAATTACATAAAGAAACCTTAACTATAATAAAGCACTTACATAGGTTGCTTGCTTGGTAGCTTTGATAAGATAGACTGCAAGCTATCTAGTCTGGTCCCTAGGATTGTAATCTTCCTTCTAATGGCTGATGAGTGACGTTGTGTTTCTGGTCCTGATGGGGGAAAAGAACCTCTTTCAGAGATCATGCCATTGATGTCATCAGCAAGCTTTGATGCTTCACTAAATTCCTTCATCCATGAATCTGAAGAAGATGCCATTGCAACTGAAAGAAACGGAATTAACTAGATATGAGTAAACATTCCAAGATGAACACATATAAGCCCCAACTATATTTATGAAGATCCAAAATAGAAACATTTAGGGCCGTGGGCCAGCACAGTGAAGCCATAAAATAGGACCGTGCTGGCATGACCAATTTTATTGTATTTTTCAATTTCATTTTATTATTTCATATATAAACCATTGTATACATCAAAATTCATATTGAATAAAAATTTAAGATGTTTTTTTTCAATTTCTTGTCTATCTTGTTAATTTATTTTAGCTTTTCATTTTTTTTTACAACTCCAGGCATGTACTAGAATATACACATGCATCTTTTATCATGATATGCCTGGTATAGACATTGTTGTACCTCAAGAAAATTTTCTGCAATACAATTCCAACCATAACCATCCTTCCCATGGTTATTTGGTTATGGGCTTAATTTTGTCCAGCATCAAGCCTCCTACTACTGAAAATGTAATCCATCTACTACACCAATAAGAATATTCTGAATTCCAGCATATTTATCCAATACATGGTTTTCTTTCTATCCTTTTTTCCGTTGGCATCCAATACATGGTTTTCTATTTAAAAAGAAAAAGAAAGAATTCTGTAAGTTAAAAGCTTCAAAATTGTGTGTACTTTCCATCTTCAAATCTGCAATTCCAGACATTAATGCTTCTAACAATATAACTTCAAATGGTTATAAAGACATATCAAGTAATTTCACACATTCAGGTTTAGATACTTCCCAGAAAGTCATCCATCCAACCTCTTTAAAAGTTGCCACTTTATTGTTTCCGCAGTTGGATAACAACACAAACCAGAAAGGAGTTTAGCAACCACAAGTGCTCAACCAGGGAAACACAGACGCGAGAAAACGCAAAACAAGCCAGGCACGACTACTGAACTAAGAAAATTCTAGATTCTACTAGCACGAACAATTAATGACTCCCTAACAGATTTCCTCCCTTATCTAAAACAAATCAGCCAATGCCATTAACCATAGTCCAAATAATCCTGCTGCTAGTTAAATCAATTGCCCAACAAATATTTTCTAGCAACTAGTAACCAGACCGGCAATCACCTTCTTAACTACATTTAGCTAAACGGAGCGCAAAAACTCTAAACAATCCTGCAAAGTCCTAAATATAGAGACAAGAAAAATTTAACACCCTAGTAATGAATCGGCTACCCACCGATCACACAAATCCTACAAAAATTACGTAAATTTCAGAAACCAAAGCAAAAAAACCAATCTCAAGATTATTCGAGAATTCAACAGATGGAGATCGTCATTATGAACTTCCATATGGAAACATGGAAGGATCAAGATTATACAGAAAGAAACATAAATTACCTACGCGTTGGAACGGAATCTGAATTCGGTAGGTAGAGGGGAGATGATCGATTGATCAATAGTGGTTTCAGACTGTCCTTGTTAGTCCGGTGAGGTAGACAGCGAGATTTGAGACGACACGCGAAACCGACGCCACCGATATCCGGCAGAGTTCGTCTGAGCTTCGTCGTCCAATTTGGAAAAAGCGAAATTCCTTAATAATGACTATAGTTAACGGAGGGAAAGAGACTAGTTCTACCCTGAGTGGGAATCAAGTCCTCTGTTTCCAAGGAAACAGGGATTCCCTATTCCGAGCCAGTACCATTCAGACACGTCACGACACTCGTGTAACACGTGATCGCTTTCTTATGCGGAAAATATGGAAATAAGAAACAGGGAGAAGAGAGGGAAAGCCATACCTGAACTTGGCTCTGCAAACGTTGTCTGCTTCTTCGTTGCTCGACTTCTCTCCCTTTTTCCTTTCAAATCGTTGGAAGAAGCAACAATTTGCGAAACAGAAATTGCTATGCCGAGAAGAAGAGAAGAAGGAAAAGATTAAAGGCTAGAAATAGAGTAGAACTCTAGAAGTTGGCGTCGTCCGGACTCCAGCCTCCAGGCTCTCCAGAGTCCAGCCTCCAGACTCCAGAGAGAAAGCAAGGCACTAAAGGCGGTCCGTATGATGTTCTCCTACTCTAACTCTCAAATTTAAAGTGTAGTTCCATCCAACCGTTTAATAGGAATCTTTTGTCTTCGATTTGCCATTTCTTCTGGCAAGGTGAATACATCACATCAGTCCTAAAAGTTATCCAACGGATATAGCGCTCCAAATTAGCAAGCCGTGAATTGGTCTAAATAGTGTTTTCTATATTTTGTTGACCATGGCGGTCGAACCGATGCCGGTTAATCTGGGAAGCTAACTGCATCCCGGGTTTGGGACGGTTGTGATCTTCTTATTAGTTATTAATCGACAAATTATACGGTTCAACCGTTCGCGAACAACCCGGTGGACGTCCGATTCGGTTTTTAAGACATTGGGAGGTCTTCACACCATCACATGAGGGTTGGGCCCTTTCTAACAAATGGATTAGTATTTATATGATCCATACCACTACAATGTGGGCCATGGAGTATGGGTGTCAAGTGGATATAGGGTGTAAGTGGGCCTGACTGTGGGCTTTTAAAAGTAAAATAAAAAGAGTGATGTCGCGAAAAGCTCGAGCTGTAACCTGTAATGGACCACTTTTAGCTCTGGCTTTGTAAGGTATGCTCCACAACACATAGAAAGTCTAAGAAGTTATGTTTACTGAAAAAGCTAGAATTCCTATATGTTTTTGATGGTGTGCAATTCGGCTGGTCCTAGCTGTCAACGATCTTGTCTCTTTACGGAGCTACAGGGAGCCTAAAACAGAGAAGATGAGGAAGCTCCGGGAGGAACCCGATATGAATGCTCCGAAGCTCAAGTTAGAATTCTTTAAAAGGCAAGATAAAACCAGATGGCGCAAAGTTCACGTACCTTGTTCTTGGGGGTAGGGAGCCTTTTATAGCCACCTCGTGCACTCACTCTTAAGCTTCTGTCAGGTCGGGTACGATTACCTCTAGTCTCCTGCCAGTTCGGGTGTCATCCCCTCTGCTGGTCAGAACCGCCACTGCTCTCTTTTGTCGGAGTCGTCTCTGTGATTGGCAATGATGGTGGCAGGTGGCGGTGGTAGGTGACCGTTGAATTGCGGCTGTCAAGCGTCAGATCCCAAGTCAGTCAAATGCGTCGCCCTTGGATACGGACCTCCTCAGTGTCAGGTATGGTACGTTTGTTCAGTTCGGCGTCTCGGAGGCGAAGTGCTGGAGTGGCGAACGAGGTGAAGTCTTGAGTTCGGATAGGGGAGTGTCCCGAACTGCCATGAGGCGGGCCAGTTCGGGTCACTGCTTTGTGTGGCTCGGGGCCAAAGGAAGAGTTCGGGCTCCTCGTAGGGAGTTCAGGCTCCTTGAAGGGAGTTCGAACTGCTGGTTTCTTCCTTTTGGTGCTTGCGCCCTGGGTGCGCTGTTGTGCCGAGCTATTTGCTTTTGCCACGTGGAGTGATTGCGAKGTCGGGCCAAATCTTCCTTCATCAATTGCCCCCCACTCCTTGCGCTAAGGGTCCTGCCCTGGCGCGGGGAGTTCGCAAGGTGTCAGGTGGATTTGCCCCGTATTTTGAATCTTGGTTCTGATGGCGCAAGGTGCGTTGTCAGGGTTCCTTAGGTTTCTTTAAGCGCCCAAAAGGTGGGAAACGTGCCGACCTGCCTGAACGCTGATAGACGTGACGGCGCGCGCTTTATTTCGAAATTTCAAAAAGCGTGCCGCTTGGGAGACGTGACAGCAGGCGTCTTTTCAAATTTGAAAACGTGCCGCTGCCGCTTTTATTGTGAGGAGACGTGCGCTGGCGTTCCGTCAGTTTCGAAAAGACATGCGCCGACGCTTTGTCAGTTTCAGGAAGACGTGCACCAATCACGTCTCGGTCTCAGGGGACATGCGGTCAGTGCGACTGTGGGCCGTCGGATTGGCTTTGATCTAAGTCGTCGCTTTTCGGTCACTGTGAGTATAAATAGCGGGGGGGGGGGACCCAGTCGYTGTCACTTCTGTATTTCTCTCGAGCTCGCGTCCAGGTTTTTTCAGTTCGCATCCAGGCTTTTTCAGTTCGCGTTCAAGGTTTTTTGCTCGTCTGAGCTCCCATGGTCTATAGCCTTTTTCCGAGTGAGTACTTTCCTGGAATCCATCTTACTCCCCGATGTCTAGCTTGGATAGCTCAGATAGTCCTTCAAGTGGGTTTGATGCAGGTTCTACGAACCGAGTTGCATCCCCTGATAGCTCTAGCGAGCCGGAGGTAGAGCTCGAGGAAGAGTTCAAACTCGTAGGCCGAGGCGCCTCGGGTAGTTTGGCGTCCACCTCTCGTCGGGGTCGAATGTTAGACAAGTTTGGCCCTTTGACCATGATGCTTGAGGGGCTCCAATCCCTTATTACCTACTATAACTTGCCCGGGGAGTACGCTTATTTCATACCTTCGGGTAGCTTTCCTTGGGAACACGGTCCTGATGAGATCGTGATATTCCNCTTGCCCGGGGAGTACGCTTATTTCATACCTTCGGGTAGCTTTCCTTGGGAACACGGTCCTGATGAGATCGTGATATTCCGGGAGCAGCTCATCACAGGGCTGCGATTGCCTTTCCATCCCCTCCTTGTCGAAGTCTTGAACCACTTCGGCGTGACGATCGGCCAGCTTCACCCGAACTCCATTCGAAATTTGGTGGGGACAATCTCCTTATTTTGTGAAGAGAGCTTTCCTTCGGACTTAGAGGTTTTTTCTTCAATCTTAATGCTTAAGAAGCAAGCGGGTACCCTCCTCGGGCGTAGGCGGGCATATTACTTGTCTCCTCGCCCGGGATTTAAGCTTTTACATGAACTCCCCAACAAGGTCCCGGCATGGAAGCGGGACTATTTCGGGGTGCGAAGTGTGCTGGGGTGGCCGTTTTAGACCGGGTGGGGGATGGCCGCTCCTGATTTCGGGGTCACGCTTGACAAAGAGACAGCGAAGGGCCTCCGACAATGGGTGCGGCTTGGGCTGAAGTGTCAATAGTATCTGACAGAGGCCAAGCTCATTGCGGCCGGCCTGAGCTCGGATAGGTTCTTCACTTAGAGATTCTGTCTTGTTGTCTTTCTTGCTTTTTTCTGATGGCAAACTTCTTTTCGCATGTGTGATGGACTTTCGAGCGACCCGTGGTGGGCACTTGTTCCAAGGCATGAAGAGGCGGAAGCGGGTTGCTAAGTGAACTCGCGCCGAGTTGCCCCGGGATGCGGAGCACGAGGTGCCGGACTATCCGTCAGAAGATCTACCTAGGGAGCCCGAGATGGTTCCTCCAATGCAGGAGCCAACAGGGGTCCCTTATGCTGAGACTACTTACACAGGGGCTTCTACATACTCTGGTGCTCCTGCTAACTCTGGGTCTGCTCATACGCGAGCTGGGCCCTCAGGCTCAAGGGCCCCGGGGGATTTCAGGAGTGTGCTGTCGCCGACCCATGCTCTTTAAAAGAGTAAGGAGGCCATTTTCCCCGAGGAGGTCGCGACGTGGACTGATCTCCCTCTACATCAGGTGGCCTGTCGTGCTGTTACCCATGCCATGGTGGTAAGTGATCTCCCTTTTTTAGAGCTCTTTGGCTTTCGTTTTGTTGGTTCTTTTGATCACTCGGTTCTTTTTGGTAGGTGAAGTATTCTATTCACGCCTTGGCGGTCCAGGTGGAGAGGAGCTCGAGGCAGGCGCGAGCTGCCGATGAGGCTCTTCGCGCTGCTGAGACGACTTCGCGAGCTGCTGAAGGGGCTGCTCATGCTGCCGAGGCTGCTACTCGTGCTGCCGAGGAGGCTGCTCGTTTTGCACGGATCAGGCAGGCGAGGTCTCAGAGAGATGCCGAGGCCATGGGAGTTGTGGTGAAGCACATGCCGGACTTGAGTCTGGATCTGCAGCATCAGGTTGAGTACCTTCAGGGAGATGCCAAGAAGATGCCAAGGTACCGAAGATGCCAAGAAGAAGATTGTCGATGAGTACATTGCTTCGTCGGGCTTTGACGATCTGATGGTGGATTCATACATGAGGGGTTTTAAACTAAGCCGGTGGATGATCTAGAATACGTACCCCGAGCTCGATATTAGCGTCATATCCACTTCGCGCATAACTCAGGAGATGGCCAATGCTACTGATGGTGAGCCAGATTCCGAGGGCGAGGTAGGGCCTTCGGGTATCGTTGAAGTGCCTTCTGATAATGAAGAAGTAGCTCCGGGCTTGTAAATTTTTTTTTTGAAATGTACTACCTTACTTTGAAATGGAATGAGTTTCTTTTGGTTAAGTGTTGGTTGTTCTTTCTCCCGAACTGAACGTATTTGCCGAACTGACCATACGTTCGATCTGTTTCCTGCCCGGGTTACCGCACTCACGCGGCCTGTTTTGGTGGTGATTTTATCCACTTCGCTTGGTGGTCTATAGGTAGTATAGCCTTAGGTTGACAATGTTCCATGCTCGGGGTACTTTCTTACCCACTAAGGTTTCGAGCTCGTATGCCCCTCCCGAGTGCTTTCTTTACTCTATAGGGTCCTTCCCAATTTGGTCCGAGTTTTCCCACGCCGGGTTCGGGTACCATGATCTTACGGAGAACCAGGTCGCCAACACGGAAGCTCCTCTTCTTTACTCTGGCATTATAGTACCGAGCTACTTTTTGCTGGTAGGCCGCTGTTCGGATGTGCGCGAGGTCTCTTACCTCATCCAGYAGGTCGAGGTTGGTGCRTAAYTCGTCTYCGTTTGTYTGGTCGTCATATGCTTCTAGTCGCAGTGTAGGTATTTCGATTTCCGCCGGGATTACCGCTTCGGTGCCGTAGGTGAGGTTAAAGGGGGTGTCTCCCGTGGCGGTTTTTTCCGTAGTTCGGTGAGCCCACAGGACACTTGGTAGCTCGTCCGCCCACAACCCTTTAACTCGGTCTAGTCGTGCTTTTAATCCGCGGAGGATGGCTCTGTTCATTACTTCTGTCTTACCGTTTGCCTGCGGGTGTGCGACCGACGTGAAGTTCTTACGAATTCCCATATTTTGGCACCATTCTTGGAACTTGATATCCTCGAACTRTTTGCCGTTGTCGGAGATCAGTACCGGAGGTAGCCCGAAGCGACA